GTAAAGTATAGCAAGTATCGTGTTATATTGTAATGAGTAAAGTATAGCAAGTATCGTGTTATATTGTAATGAGTCGTGTATAGCAAATATTGTGTTATATTGTAATGAGTAAAGTATAGCAAGTATCGTGTTATATTGTAATGAGTAAAGTATAGCAAGTATCGTGTTATATTGTAATGGATAAAGTATAGCAAGTATCGTGTTATATTGTAATAAGTAGTGTATAGCAAGTATTGTGTTATATCGTAATGAGTAAAGTATAGCAAGTATCGTGTTATATTATAATGGGTAAAGTATAGCAAGTATCGTGTTATATTGTAATGAGTGAAATATTGCAAGTATCGTGTTATATTGTAATGGGTAAAGTATAGAAAGTATCGTGTTATAGTGTATTGAGTAAAGTATAGCAAGTATCGTGTTATAGTGTAATTAGTAAAGTATAGCAAGTATTGTGTTATATTGTAACGAGTAAAGTACAGCAAGTATCGTGTTATAGTGTAATGAGTAAAGTATAGCAAGTATCGTGTTATAGTGTAATTAGTAAAGTATAGCAAGTATCGTGTTATATTGTAACGAGTAAAGTATAGCAAGTATCGTGTTATAGTGTAATGAGTAAAGTATAGCAAGTATCGTGTTATAGTGTAATTAGTAAAGTATAGCAAGTATCGTGTTATAGTGTAATTAGTAAAGTATAGCAAGCATCGTGTTATATTGTAATGAGTAAAGTATAGCAAGTATCGTGTTATAGTGTAATTAGTAAAGTATAGCAAGTATCGTGTTACAGTTTTGTATATTGTAATGAGTAAAGTATAGCAAGTATCGTGTTATATTGTAATGAGTAAAGTATAGCAAGTATCGTGTTATAGTGTAATTAGTAAAGTATAGCAAGTATCCTGTTATATTGTAATGAGTGAAATATTGCAAGTATCGTGTTATAGTGTAATTAGTAAAGTATAGCAAGTATCGTGTTATAGTGTAATTAGTAAAGTATAGCAAGTATCGTGCTATATTGTAACTAACCTTATTGTTATAGATTATACTTGTTCGACAATCACTTGAATGGAGCCATTGGGCTTCCGAATGAAACAAATTAATATTTTTTTTATGAAACAGGGCGATTGGAAATTAATCTGCGCTCTACCAATACACATTAAATTGAGCGGTATGTGACAATGTTCGAGCATATTTCGATTTTCCCGGTTTTTGTTATTACCTATACAAGATTATTGAATACGTCACACTAAGCGTGCTGTTAATTTCAACGAATAACAACGTTCGGACAATTGCATTCATAACATGTACACCACACAAGGCACATTCAATCTAATATCATTTACATAGTTTTGTGTTTGTTTTGTGAAATCTGTTACCAATATCAGCTGCAATATGGCGATTGAGTGATTTCGCTGCCACGTTGTTCTATGGATTACACGTCGAAACGTTGATTGACAAGCTGGATTGTTTTTTATCTGAGTTGGTCCGGATGGTCCTAAGATTGAAACCTTTAATCATATATTTGAAACTAGACATGATATGCGCATGCCGAGATGAAAGAAAACGTAACAACATTGTGATAAGGATTTACGTGGGTATCGCAGCGACCTTCCTAATAATATGCACATTATTATTTAGTGCCTCTCTTTCTCTATAGCTGTCTCTTCTCAGCGACAAACTGATATAATATATTTTTATTTTGTTTATCACTTCACCTAATCTAGCCTAAACCGTTTTTATCTTCGCAACTGATGAAGATTCTATCCTAAACAGATGGAAACAAATGAAGTCATTTTTCAAAGATATATATCACAATTTATTTCCAGAGAAATCACCATGGTAACACGAAGTGTTGGCAGACCGCTATATATTTATATCTATCTGTTGGCTGCAAATGCTCGTCAATGTATTGTATTAAATTAAGTTGGGCTGATTATATGGCAATGTTCCGCCAATTTGTGTGCTGTCTATGTATACAGTCTATTACGCATTTAACCACATCACATGGCTCATGTAATATAAATACTAACTATATACACATACGTGTGTGAACTGAAGATTACTACCATTTTCTAGTGAAT